AAAACTTTAAAAAAAAAAAAAAAAAAAAAAGGAATGTACTGGTTAAATGGCAGAGCATATTAGGGCGTCGAGAAATTCATAGCATATTGGTATTGTTCATATGTTGCGTTACTTGCGTATCTTGATTTCGAACTATTTCACTTAGCAACAGAAGCTATTACGGAAGTACAAAAATATGCAGAAAATTTAGAAAGAAAATTAAGAAAGTATAAAGACCATTGCAGTTGTCCCCTATTTCTTTCTGAATACTAACGATTAACATATACTCCCTCCGTTTAAAAAAGATTGTCAGGTTTTTCTTTTTAGTTCGTGCCAAAAATAATATCATCTTTCTATATTTGGTAACAATTTGACTATAAAATTACTACTATACCCTTAATAAAATGATTTACAAGCACACAAATATATATGGTTTATTTTAGACTACAAATCTTAAAAGTCAACATTTCTTTATTAAATTACATACCGATTCAAAACATGATAATCTTTTTGAAACAGAGGGAGTAATTGTTTACCGAAAAAATCGGATAACGTTAGATTTGTGTATGGTTCTAAGGATATGTGATACAATTCGATATAAATCGCATAGAAAAATGGAAGAATGTGTATCATTGACTGTGAGGATGAAAATAATAAGCGAAAAGAATGAATAAGTAAAACAAGCACAAGGGGATAACTATCAATATAAGAAGTGATCTTCTTCTCCCTTTCTTTTCTTGCTCTAGCTTACAAGGATTCCCCTTTTATAGAAGAGGGTCATTACCAAAATACAATAAAATAAAACATGTAGTGGAAGGCCTATGATGACTTGTCTCTTCCTTGATTCCCGTCAAGATTCTCTCTCTTGGTGTGGTTGCAACGGCTCTTGTTTGTGAACTCGATACTAGCTCGAACTCGTTATTGGGTCGGGCCCTTCGGTCTTGGATCGAGTTCGACCTTCGAGATGGGCGTCGCGCATTTCCGACCTCGAAGCAGTGCCTTGCGGCCTTGCGGATCGATTCGGTCACGGGCTCGATAGGATTATCGAGCCGCCTCCTCGAGCGACCTTCGGGCTCGAGGTTCATTAGTACCGACCTCAGAGCTCACTCCCAAAATCTCATTCCGACTTCTTAACACTCGAACTCGATCGAACGTAGGAAGGCCGAAATCTATTTCGACCGTATACAGTAATATTCAGCAATTAATTTCAGATTCCATCCGGATTAATACAAAAATGACATATTACAACCCTTTTTCTTGATATCCTGTTCACCGTTCCATTGACAATCCTATAGACACTGCTGATGGTGGCCTAAACTGGAGCAGCTTTGTAGCCATATCCAATGCCTTTTTTGCTTGAACTTGTGGGTGCACCACGATGCTCATTGTCACAAGTGATGGCAAGCTAATGAGAAGGAACCGGATAAACTCATCCTCAGGAATAAAACTCGAGATTTTGGTTAATTTGGCCAAAGTGAAGTTTGCTAAGGGGAAAACTTTTGTAGTCCAACTGATGTTTTAGAAAACTAGAGACTTGTAGTTCCTGGTTTGGATTGTTTGTAGAAGCTGCCTCGATATGAAGTTGTTGCAAATTCAGAGCACTTGCAAGCAAGCAGAGGAGAGCAGATGTTTGATTGAAGTCCATAAAGTTTACACCTTTGAGTTGAAGAATCTCTAAAGATAGCATACCCGGATCAACTGGTAAGTAGTGCAGAAACATTCCATCAAGACGAAGTATTTTGACTTGAGGCGAGCTACCGGGCACAAACATGATGAGATCAGGAGGACTGGTTATAGCAACCGTTTGATGATCTAGAGAAACAGAAACTTTAAGACAAGTTGGGAGCCTTCTCTAAGGAGATTGATTTGAACTCATCATCGTCCGCCTCAACGGACAAACTCTTGAGATTAGAACCACTTATATTAAAATGATGAATGCCAGAGCAGCCATGTAGCACTAGCCTTGTAAGAAGGAGGCAGCTGGAAAGAAAACTTTCAAAACAGTTGTCTGCAAAGCCAACCCCAATAAGTATAAATTCGTCGAGATTAAGGAAGCCTTTAAAATCTGGCGGTGGCGAAAGAACAACATTCTGGAGCTTCAAGGATGTCAAATTTAGCAAAGAGAAGAAATAGGTGGGTAACTTATGACGATCCATAACATCCCTGGTCCATACCTCATTGTAGATTAAGGTTAATTTCTTGATATTGTTCCTCCAAGATGATAAATAGAGTATCCATTTGTTCACATCAGGAATCGCTGTTGAAGCATATTTAAAAGGGATGCATAATTCAAAACTCTCTAATCCACTAGGATCAGGATGAAGCTTAAGAGATTTGGTGATAATTTCATCAAATACAGAGTAGTACGTAATGGGCTTAGAAATAAAAAGATCCCTTCTTCTCTTCTTCATCGCTAAAGTGGTCATCAAATACTAACTGGGGAATGTAGTAGTAGTAAAATCTCCATTTTTTAGTCAGAACACTGGTTCGTACAGCTTCACGAATAGGCATTTTCCCGAGGATGCAAGCTATCAGATCCAGTGGTAAGTCGCTCACTCTATCTAATTCTGATTGTTTTTTGAAAGACGACATATTGTGATCTATTTATTGATCATTTTGGAAAACTTTTTTTACCATGTTTATGTTTATATTAGCATTCATAAAGTATATAGCCTAACAAATTCTGCTTGCAGTTTACTGGCAGTTCTGCGAAAAATGATGAGCATTATAAAGAAAAGAACAAATAATAGTATCATGGCAGTAGTGCTAAACAAGTGTTGGGCAGTAGCAATAAAACATGTATTTTAATAATTTTAACACAATATGATGACAAATATTTTAAATTATATTTACATATAGCCTAAATTATCAATAAATAATCTACATTATATTTTTAATTATTGTCTTAGATACATGACACATGTCTGACATTCAAAAAGAGGAGAATATTCCTATATCATGCCCGGTAGGTGTTGACTTATCTTTCCCATTTCAAGAGGCATTTAGTACATTTTATATCCATATTTTACAATACATATTACATCTCAGCTACAGAAAAATATTTTAATAAATTAACTACAATTTATTTACAGCGTTATTTCTGTTTACTACAAATGATCTACAATTTTATTAAGTTGTACACATTTGTTGTCGCAGAGAAGGAAACTATGCATGTGCATTCTCCAAAACATGATGCAAAAGTTGGCATACAAGGAGAGCATTTAAATGAGGAGAAAGAAACTATGCATTTGCAATCTCCAATTCAAGAAGCAAATATTATACAACAAGGAGACGATTGCAATGAAAATTTGAGTAGTATTATATATTACAATATAATTGTAGGAATAAAACAACAGCTTTCATATAAGTTTCAGTTTTTTCAAAATTTCAGATGCAACCAACATACAATGTTGTTCTTTTGTTTTTGATTTTGTAGGTGAGCCAGTCGACTTCATCAATATAGGTGATTCGGACAATGACTCCAGGTCTGGAAAAAGGGCAGTAACACTTAATGATTTTGAGCTGCTAGAGAACTTCTCACAGTTTGTTAAGTTCGGCGAGGTTAATGAAGATAAAACAACCCCTGTGCATCAAGGAAGAACAAGGGTTCATGGAAAGCATGCCAGATTCCTCTTTCTCCCTTATTTCAGTTTTGGGGAAAGCATTTATGTTGGACCTCCTCCAATTTTCAATATCAAGCATCCATTTACTAGGTTATTGGTGACGATGTTGATCCTGACTTGTTGAAAGAGTTTAATAAGTGGTTATATTTAGGTACCGCACAGTTTCAAAGAGGTTAGATTATACACTTTTTTTATATTATCGAGTGCATACAATTTATAGATTTTCAATTGAAACTACATATTAATTGTACTTGCTATATCTTTAAATAGGAATAATGCGCTTTATACTTTAAAAGATAACAAGCTCAACCCGTGGTTTGATCTTGGAGTGGAGAAAGTTGATAAAAAGGACTAGTTTTATACTTTGGCACATCCCGGGCAAATCCTCAACAACACGGTACACTCATACCTTGGCAGAATTTAATGATTAGCTGTAGTATTTTGTTATTTTAGATATCTGTAGATTTTTTATTTAAAAATTGTAGTTAAATTATATTCAGTATTGAGAAATAATGAAATCTGTTTTTCACAGCACATTGATGTTATTTTATTCTATTTGAGGAAAAGAGGAAAGTATAGTCCTGAAAATAAAATACGGTTTACAACCACTCACTGTATCTTCAAGACTAGAATTGAACAAATTTATGAGAGGTACATTAATGCTCCTGCCGATAGGAAGCTTGCTGTTGTCAAACCCCATGACGTCGTATCTGAATACATATTGGGGTACCGATTACTTGCAAATATTGCATGGGAAAATTTTGATTTTATGATTATGCCCATAAACATTGTGGAGAAATTTCATTAGTTGTTGGTTGTGTTTGACATTACCGATAGGGTTCTATATGTTTATGATTCTATGGTCTATTCACGAAATCACAAACTTGTTGAATCTATTGTCGACAAGTTTGCTATTATGATCCCCCTCTACTTGTCATGCACCGGCTTCTATGGCAAGCATCCAGACATCAACTACAAGACACAAAGGCATATATTGAAAAAGGTTTTACTGACCCTCTTAACATTTAGTGGTTGGTCGGTGAGATACCCCATCAAAAAGAAGGATCACTGTATATACTGTTTTTCCTTCAATTTAACCAATTGTATTTTACATTGAATGCTAAATCTTTTTTCCTATTATTTTTTGCAGTGACTGTGGTGTATACATGGCAGTATTTGCAGAATATGTCAGCATTGGAGAGCTATCAATTTCAAAGGAAGACCTTTATGATATTGATCAACACCATAGACGCCATGGAGCGCTCATTTGGGATTATGCTAGAAAAAAGTAAGAGCTTGGTGCAATTAGTGAAAGTGAGGTGACTGACAAATTAGCACGAAGAAAAGGTGCACCAGCTGTGAGGGAGAGAACACGAGTCTAGAACAAAAAGAATTAGTTACCCTTTTCTGTAGAAAAATTATAGTTAAAGTGTTTAGTTGTAGCTGGATTGTATTAAAGTTGTAAGAAAATTATTTATTAAGAACAAGTCATCTAGAATTAATTTATAGAAGATTTGTGCTACAATTGTTTTACTTTTTGTTTTTTGTTATTTTGTCCAAAATTCTACTACTTACAATAGAAAATATCTGTGGCATTTGTTTTGGTTAAAAGTTGTTAGTACTTGATCTCGATATTGGTACTATATAATTTCTTTACAGCATAACTATAATTATGTCTACAACTACTATACAAAAATATAGAATCTATTCAATTTTAGCAGTGTTGTTAGGAAAAGCTTAAAAGTAATAAATAAACCCAGTTTTTGAACAAAACAACTACAAACCAATTGCATTAAGAATTGAAATCTGTTTACCAAACATTCATCATATGAGACAATTTTTATTCAAATTAGCAACATAATTACACCACAACTATAATTCTCCAGAATATAACAAATATAACTCAATATATCTTAAAGGACAGATTATCATCAACAGTACTCAATAATTTTTTTTTTAATACTATATCAATTTTTTTTTTTTTTTTGGGAGCATTCCTACAAGATCTTTTGTTATGCCCTTCTTGTCCGCAGTTACCACATGAACCCTTGTATTTCTTTGCATTTACTTCATCATATGATTTGTATCTTTATTTTTGAGGTCTCCCTGACTGCCATTTCCCAGTAGGTGGCATTACAACTTCTTCAGCTATATGTTGTGGCACATTCCATTTGCTTTCATCATGTAGCAGGTCTACTGGTATTTCATAAGTCTGCAGAAGGCTCTCCCTCGTGTAATAAAGAGAACAATAGTTTTCATAAGACTCGTTCCTGTGCCTCAAAGCTGCCAAAGCATGTGAACAAGAAAGTTCATCAAGCTGGAATTGTCTACAACTACATCTCTTGTTTTGAAGGCAAACAATGAAGCGCTTCACACCATCTATCACAGTATGGATGTAATCTGTTGAAGCCCTCACCTACAATTTCATTACAAACACATAACAAGTTGTCAACAACAGATACAAGACAAAATAAATACAATTATACAACAACATATCTACAATTATATGTATATATTTAGTTTGATTAAATCAATGATCTGATGTTATTGTCCATAACTTACTCTCATCTTCTGCGATAATGTCCAGTTATCCTCCAACTCTTTGTTGTATTTCCCCCCAAGGTATGTGAACGTACCCTTTGTATTCAATAACTTTTCATTAATCCAACGTTCAAGAAGAGTCCTCATGTACTCTAATAGTTCAACTACGGGCAGCTTTCTCGCATATTTGGTTACCGCATTCAAGGACTCTGCAATGTTTGATGTCATCGTTCATGTTCTGTTCACCGTAGCATATACCCGAGACAATATGTGATAGCCAATATCGTATAGGTATGCTTTAACACGTATGTCGATCTCTTCAATCTATGATATTCTTTCATTAAATTCATCAAGTGTGTATGATCGTGCCGTGTCAAAGTACAATTCACTTAACTTTAGATGGCCTTTCTTGAACTTTGACCTTACATTTGTCTAAATATGCCACATGCAAGCATAATGTGGCATGGCGGTATAAAGAGTAGATGTTGCCTTCAATATACTCTCATTCCGGTCTGAAACAACACACATATTTGGTTTTTCGCCATATGCATGTTTGAATTGCTCAAACAACCACCTCCATGATGCGTCATTTTCTGAATCAACAATGACGTATGCTAGTGGTAATATGCTACCCATCACATAGGTAGCAAAAAGAAATTCAATTACAGTAATAAAATTTGAAAATATAAAAAATACAGTTTCAGAAATAACTTTATAACAATATTTTTACAATTAATCTACATTAATGCATCCATTGTGCTAGCTATTAGGATGATTACCCTATATGTCGACTTCAAGAAGGTACTATCGACTACTACAACTGGCCTACAATGCTCCTAACCTTTGATTGACGTACTAAGTGCAACAAATGCATACAAGAAACAGTCATCTTCAGTCTTCTGCAATTTCACTACCGACCCCGGATAAGTCTTCTCCAGAATATACAAATAACTCGGTAAGCGACTATAGGAATCAGCAGGATGACCTCTCAAAAATTCCAAAGTCTTTTTCCTTGCTCTCCAAGCTTGCATGTATGTTAAGTTCACACCATGTTCCAACAACATATCAGTTTGTATGTCTTTTGGTGTGTATATTGTCTTAGGATCCACATATTTTGGCATTACCATGCTGCTAACTACCATGGCAGTAGCTTTGCGTTGTATATATATGTTGTCCATCAAAGAGCATGTGTACAAGCTGTTGAATTTTTGAACCTTGAACAATGCTGATTCATTTATGCTGGTGGACTTGAAGTGCCGCGTACAATTGTCCCCAACACATACGAGGCAATAGCTACAGAATAAAGATAATTCAAAAAATGTTATGCAAATTGTAGCTATAGAATACGAGTCTGTTTATGCACAACAAATTATTTTAAATAATTTATATATAATTTATATATATAAAAACTACAACTTATACACAATATGAATTTGACAAATAAAATGTCCCTACCTTCTTGCACTAGACCTTTTCACCCTAAATTGAAACTTATTCATGACAGAATGGTGCTTCATTGCACTGATAGTTGTTTGCTTGTCTTGGTAAACTTGGCCTACTTCAATTATATTTGGCGTATGTTCTGTTATGATGATACTTTTATATTTCACAATTATCGGAGATGTTGGCATATTAATCAACTTCAATGTTCCTGATACTTATCCAATTGTGTTACAATTACTTGACAATTGTACCACGTTAGTATTACGATAATCAAAAGTACCTACACTCAAAAAAGTATAGTAATTCAGGCCTCTGTATATTCAGGTGTTTACTATTTGATAGAATACTTGTAGATACTTTGTTCTGTGATCACATTTTTATTTTTTCAAATCTTAAGTACTGTGTAACAGGTACACTTCAATTGTATTTAGAGACATAACAGTTGAACTACATTTGTTATGTAGTATGGTTGTAGATAATTTGTAGTAAAATTATAGAACACTTGAAATTAAAAAACATCAGCACTGAAAAAATAGAGCAAACCTGCAATTATGCTCGCATTCGACATACTACATTCCAAATCGAAATCACATATTGTTATACACAACGGATACATTCCTAAATTTTTATTTTCCTTTTTCATCTCAATATATACTCGAACTCCCATATCGTTCCGAATTTTCATTGGAGGACAACGTTCGTTGACAGTGTATTTGATTTCGATGATTTTTGTGGAGGTATCGATCATTAGATGCTCTGCAATTGCGGAATTCAATTGACTATAATTTGAATCTTTATTGACTATAATTCCGCCAACATCAAAATCTTTGTATCTCCCAACGCTATCCCACCGACCATTGAGCTGAAGCATAATCGCCAATTTTGACATTATGTCGCGAAATTTAATTCAATTGTAGCTAATTATTTGCAATTATTTTCTTCAGAAGCTTTTTTTGAGTTTGTTGACTTGTTTATGGAAAACCAGAGGACATATGCATAATAGAAGGATTATACAGATATGCTGCCTTGATTATGGTGCGATGATAACCAGAGAAAATCTGCGTAATAGAAGGATTCTACAGATATGTTGCGTTGATTATGGTGCGATGATTGCTTCAGTAAAATCTCTAACTGAAATATAAGCTATCCCAAAATCCTGCATCTAAATAAGGAAGTTTACCGCAGAAAGGAGTCTAGTTTAAACAAATGTATAGTATTATTTTTGTAGCTAAATCGTGTTTATGTCGGGTAAATACCAAAACTGGGATATTTTTGGTAATAAGGTTTCAAATACTGTATAGGAACAAAAAAATTCCTTATAAATTTGTGAGATAAAAAGAGACCTCACACAACTAATGTCAGTTAAGTGAGGCACACCATAAAACTTCTCATGATAACATAAAAAAAGTAAAGGTGGAATATCTAAAAACTTTTCTAAACTTGACACGGATTGTTAGTTACACCCTTAAATTATTCGTGGTCTTAATTACCTCCCTGGACTTGGCATTTTGAGAGCCATTACCTCCCTAGATGCTGATGTGGCAAAAAGTGTGGGTGCACTCTCTTTTAAGCGCGTGAGAGTGAAAAAATATTTAAAAATCAGCTTACAAGTAGGTTAGTTTTTAACTTTTAATTGCATGTAGTCATATATAATGATTTATTTGTTACAACTATATATTTCTTCTTGCTTCATCTTGACATGTAATGTGGACTTTACTCTAACTGTTATTCTTTTTAATTTCTTCTATAGATATAATGTCTATTTGTTCCAACTGAATATTTTTTTTGGGGCCAAATTTGTAAAAGTTTGGTTGGACATCATTTTAGCCAAATAAAATTTTTTTAGCAAAAATAATGGAGTGCTGATTGTGTATTTTCTGTTATTTATTTTCTTTAGATATAATATCTATTTATTTTAATTGTGTATTTTTATTTTCGAGTCAAATCAGTAAGAAAAAATGGCTACAACTCCATTATTGTTTACCAAATAAAAAGGTATAGCCAAAATAATGAACTTGCAATTATATACTCTTTTTATTTCTTCTTTTGATGCAATGACTATTTATTTCAACCGTGTATTTTTTCTTTTTTCGGTTATATATGTAAAAAAAATAAATATTTTTAGAGCTCCATAATTTAGAGCTATATAAAAAATTATAGTCAAAATAATAAAAATCAAACTATGTATTTTTATATATTTTTAGATGACTTGACTATTTAATTCAACTGTATAAATCTTTATTTTTAGGTCAAATTCAAAAACAATAACTAAAACTTTATTATTTTTAGCCAAATAAAAAAATATTAGCCTAAATAATGTAGTTCTAACCAAGTTTTATTATAAATATTATTAGAAAAAGATTATCTAAAAAAGTAACACACTTAAAAAGATATAAAATATATTTTATTTTTCAGAAAATACCACATGGACAGAAAAATCCACGTGGCAGGCGAGTGCATGCCACTTTCTTAGGATGAGATCGTCCAAGGGGGTAACAACAATCGAATAACTAAGTATAAGAAGGTAATTAAGATCACTGATAATTTAAGGATGTAATCAATAATATGTGCCAAGTTCAGGAGTTTTTAAGGTATTTTACCAAAAGTAAATGTATTTTCTCAAAAGAAAAAAAAGAAAAAGTACTGCTATTTCTTCTTCTTATGTGCGCCAAGTAACATCTCATCAAACAAAGTGATTATAAGAGGGAGAAAGCTAACCAAAAGACAAAGATAAGAAGCCATTTGTTAAGCAGCATAGCTGGCAGGCAATAGAGGCAGCAGAGAAAGCATGCATATCTTTCTCTATTCAATTTCCCCCCGTCCTCCTTAGGTTATCAATAGCGCTTTGATGGATTTAAATCATATTCATTGTATATATAAGGGATTTTATGCTATTAATTCAATTCAATCAATTATAACATGTTACTATTCTATTTTTCAGATGATCATATCTGATTTGCCATAAAGATTACCATATAAAGTGAATTTAACGTGATAGTAAAACAAATTTAAATTTAAGTTATATATATTGACAATTAGTTATATTTTGATGCTCTTAGTGTAGTTAAACATGTGATAGTAAATTATCATTTTTTCAAGTTAACAATTAGTGCTATCATTGAAATTTACATATAATTATCTTATAAGTAATTTAATTGCATAAATAATTTTACAAAATTTAAACTCTTTTTATTATTTAACTCCACTTAGACTCCTAATTAATAGATACTACTCTATCCGTTTCAATTTTATATGAACCTATTTGATTTGACACGTGGTTAAAGAAAAACGAGAATATTGTTGATCTTGTGGTGTAAAATGAGGCATATATATTTTGTGTGACCATATATCATTGCATAAAGGTAAATTGTTTGTAGTGATCATTCTTTTCGAAACGGACTAAAAAAAAAGGTTATATAAGTTACAACGGAGGGAGTACATCTTATCGGCTAATAGCCTGTTTGACCAAGCTTCTAAAATCTGCTTATTTTAAGAAGTGCTTTTTTTAAAAGTGCTTTTAAAAAAGTATTTTTGGTAAAAATCAGTTTGTGTCTGACTAATTAATTTGAAAAATACTTTTGAGTAAAAATTAGTATTTAGCCAAACTTTTAAAAAGTGCTTCTGGGGTGAAGCTACATTTTTCTGCTTCTACTCAAACGTACTTTTTTTTCTTCAAAAAACTTGACCAAACACCTTAACTTTGAAAAAAAGCATATTTGACAAAAAAAAAAAAACGCTTTCGGTCAAGAAAAAAACTTGGCCAAACTGGCTATAAATCAACCTCTCTTTTATTACACTTTATTCATTATATTTCCTATATTTGTTCTTTCAATTAATAATGCCTTAATCTCAAGTTAATTCTAAATGTTCGTTTTATTTAGGCCTAATTTATCTCAAATCACATTCAAAGAATCCATTATAATTATAATAATTCTTTTTCCGTTATTCATAGCAGTACTTGGGAATCCACCATACTTACTTTACATAAAGACAACATAAGCGAGTTAAATTGATTTCTTTTCCTTTTCTTCACTTTCCTAGCATTTACTAGTAATTCCTTTCCACATCTATCTTTGGAAACTGCTCTGATATAGGACAACATAAGCGAGTTAAATTGATTTCTTTTCCTTTTCCTCACTTTCCTAACATTTACTAATAATTCCTTTCCACATCTATCTTTGGAAACTGCTCTGATATAGGATATCCTATTTAATGTATTTGTATTTTGGTATACGTGTAGTTATTTAGTCATAAATCTCCTTTTTGTTGCATTGTGGGGTTATTTTCTTTCTGTATAATAGGCCACCACCTCTTCCCTCATATTCTCTGTAGTAGTATGTATTTTTTGCTTTTTTGTTTCCACCCACCATTTCATTGTCATCTCATCCTTCAACTCCCCATCCACCCACACGCCCTCCCTTTCGCGGTCTTCTGTTAAACTCGGTGACTCTTGTATGTATCTTTGGTTCTTTTGTATTAGAGGGAAAGAAGCAATCTTGGTCATATATAGAAACAGAGAGGTGAAATCATTTTGCTCATATTTGGAAAATCATATCTAATGCTTTTTTGCCCATTTTGTAGGCGGTGTCACTGTAGATCTGTTGCTTCACTTGTTTCTCTTTCAAAGGTAAATTTATAAATTTATTTCTCTGTTACTTTTTTCTCCCCTTTTTCAAAGTTTTTTTTTTTTTTAGAATTTTCACTTTTTCTGTGTTAAAAAGCTCCTTTTTTTGGGCTGATTTTTGACTTGGTGCATACCTGCTTCCACCCATCTTCTCTTTTTCGAAATTAAGTATCTTTTCGTTCTTTGATGGTTCTTTATAGAGCTGTTTTAGAGATGGAATGAGTTAAAAGCTTGTCTTTTTGAAGAAAAAGCAACTCTTTTTAGCTCTTATGTTTAGATGGTTGGAAAGACATTGATTTTTATTTGACCAATTATATGGGATATTTGGAAATTAAGAAATTTTTATCTTCATTCTTTGGTTCTTGATGTCTACATACATGTAATCAGATTGCAGATGTATGCCTTTTTTTTGTAGTTTCAAGTAAATCTTGCTTCTTTTCTTGTCAATGTTTATATTCGGCTTGGCCCGGATGTTTTGTTCTTTGATATCTTCTCTTGTTTATTTCTCCTGGGGTTGTTTTAGGGGATGGGGTTTCTATATTTCTAGTGGGATGTTGTTTTCTGGTTTGCTGTGCTCCAATTTACCTTTACTTCTATTTGAAGACTAGGGTGTTTGATAGGTTTTATCTGGTTCTTTGGTATGCAAAGTAGTTGTGGTATGGGAATACTTTTACATAGTTGTTGTTGCTTAAAGTTTTCCTACTGCTTTAATCTAACAGAAACCATTTCACTCATTGTAGTGCAAATTTTCATGAGTTGCACTCAATCAGTTGCTTTCAAGGCAATATAACATTGACTTTTTACAAGGTTTAGTTTTCTACTTTCCAGGTTACTGAAGGACTAGGTGCGAGTCTCTGCACTCTGCAGTTCCTTCTTAGACTCACTTGTGGATTGTGAATAGAGTATAACATAGCCCTAATGCAAGGGAAACGAAGTTCCATCGGTTCATTTTCAGAAACTTTAGATTTTGGTTCTACTTCAACATCGGGTGATGGTATAGATCAGCAGATGTGTTGGAATAGTCGTGTACCAGATTATGTGGTATCACCTAATCAGAATAATATTTCTTTTCTTAATCCTGTGAGCCATGAGAGACAGAACATAATGGGGTGGGGTTTCGGAGAACCGAGCTCCACAAATCATGCTGGTCAGAGTGAACGAAAAACAGATCATGGTTGGTCATCTACAATGAATGCATGTCCTGAACCTTCTCACTTCTCTGACGAACATCAATATGGGTCGCCCAACATTCTTTCATTGAGTAATGTAGAAGTAAATTTGAACAGTGTTCAGATGGCTAACAGCAGTATATTCTCTCAAGGTTCTAGTCCAACTACCCTTCCTCATGATATGAACACAAATTCAGGGTTTGAGGGGCACCATGGTGATGATGACAGTGAAGATGACTGTCAAATAATGGAATGTACTCCAGCATACAAGTCTGATTTACCAGGAAAAGAGTGGATGTCATCTGCTACTACATGTCATACTTTTGCTGGGCCTTTTGGTACTAATGGATTCTTGATAGATGAAAATGATGGCAGGCCAGGCTCTTCGTTGGATGGTCGTCGCTTATCTTGCAAGAGAAAAGCACTTGAAGGACATCTGGGCCAATCTTCAGCAAGTGGAAGTAGAAATTATATTCCACATGCCGAAAACAGCTTATGGCATTCTCTACCTTCTCCACATAGTATGGGCACAGGTGCAAGTATCTGTGCTCCAACAGAAGGGAGCGGAAGCATTAATTTGTCAGAGCAGCTTAACCCAAGACTTGGGCTTTCAATGGGAGGAACCATTTCAGAAAGTCCACTTCGTTTACCTGCTTCTGGAATTGCCGAAAGTTCCCGTAATACTTTCAGGCTGAGGGTTAATAGCTCACATCAACAAGATACCATTCCTAGTAACCTGTTTCCTGCTGTGGGTGATGCTGGAAATGTTAATGTGTCATCTGACTGGCACTCATCGAGGGTCTTCCATAATAATTCTTTGAACTTGATGTCGATGTCTGCAGCTGATAATGTAAATCCTCAAAGCCAGGCCTCGGTGGTCCATGTTCCTTCTCTGCATCGAAGTTCACAGGCTAGGTGGGATTTAGCACCTAACTCAAGAACTAGCAGTTCATCAAGCTTTTATGCATCTGGAGAGAGAGACTCTGCACCATATCAAGAACCCCACTCAAGAAGTTTGTCAAGGAACATTTCACATCATCCAATGTTTATACCTGTTACTGATGCAAGAAATCTGAACCAAAATCCTGCCAACTGGAGTTTAGCTGGTGGTGGGAATATTTCCATTGTTGGAAATGTTGCATCCACATCTCGAAGTAGCTCGAGTTCACGCTCCCACTTGTCTTCTCCTTCTCGGGTTCAACACAGAAATCCTCCACAATATTCCCGGAGACTGTCTGAATATGTCCGAAGGTCTTTGTTGTCTTCAGCAGATGCTGAACCTGGAGGTCGTAGTGGTAATAGTCCTTCGCTATGTCTGAGTGCTGCCTCTCGGGTGTTGGAGCTTTCTGGCAATCATGGACATCGTCAATCAAGGTCAAGGTCCACAGCATTGTCGGAGAGACATCTTGATGGTGGTATAGGAGTTTCTCATTCTTGGAGGACTTTGGCTGCTGCCAGTGAAGGAAGAAGCAGGCTAGTCTCTGAGGTATGTTCTCCAGCTTATGTGGTCAAATATTCTTTCACATTTGTTATATGAAGTCAAAGTGAACTTAGACCCTAATCTGCTTATAATAGACCTTATTTACGTATCAATCAATAATTTGCTGACCAATAGGAATCGTAGGGCATGCATCGCAATCAAATCCAAGGGTCACTACAATAACATCTCAATGAACCTAAATTTGTGACCCCAAATATAGCAGATTGAGCTTTCTTACTTATGTCCCTCTCAGGTTTTGCACGGATAAGGTATGTTACTCTTGTAGTTGTGGATGCAAATGTATTCTATAGTTATATCCTGAAATATCCAACTGTGTTCCTCTTGACGTTTCGTCACCACAAACCGGTTAAACCTCTTTGATGATAAAATTTCTGAAGTGCTTTTGCTAGTGTCTACGCTAGATGTAATTTAGTGGGCTCTTAGTGTTAGTGTAATGTACAACCTCTCACAAGTGCATTATCTTACTAAGGAGTTAGGAGTCCATTTTACTTTTTTATTCTTGGATGCAGTTTCCAAGCTTTGATGTGGAAAAGGTCTGCTCTTTTGGTTTGGGGTTTGTTTCGTAGATTATCTTTCTCTCATGCAATTATTGTTACAAGGAGCAATGGTGCATTTAGCTTATAGTTAATAGTGTTAGCCTCACCTAGTTTCCAGCTTAATTGGAGGTTTTTGTAAAAGACTAGAATGAGAAAGCTTTAATTCTTTTTTATGTATGTAGTTTGCATTGTAAACCGTCCATTTATTATCAATTACTTGCCATTAATCACTTTTGTTGAACAGATTCGCAATGTATTGGATCTTATGCGCAGGGGAGAAGGCTTACAACTTGAGGTTAGATTCTTGAGTAGGATGATGGCTTTATAAGGTTACAGATTTTCTGTTCTATTGGATTACAAGCTTCTCTATCACCTACATGGTCGGAGGCACAACAGATGTTGCTACAAAGCCAAGAACCTTGGTTTTGGTTGCCATGGCTAGACTGTACTTTGTGCTGAAAAGCTAAGGCTTCCTCTGATGTTTTTGACTTTATATTTTTTTTCCATCTTTATTCTTTTTCAGCTGAGTCTTACGCGGTTTGTTTTTCCTTGTCTGGAGGAATATGAAGTAATAATGAACCAACATGATGTGTAAGACAGGCTAATTTGAAGGATTTGTTGCTAACAGTCATTTACTTCAAACTTCTATTTCTACGTTTCAAAATGTGTTTTTGAAAGTCAGATATATAAATACTATTTTGTAAACTAGAAAGCACGTGCAGAACTACCAACCTGTATTATGCTATGCTCTTTACTTACATGCCTAGAGCCTGCATAAACAAGTGCTGTGTTACTGTGAAGGGAGCAAACAGCAATATATCATCAAGTTTTGCTCAGGAGAGGAAATAAGTAAAACTATTACTTTTTTTTGTTTAGATCAAAATTCATTCTTCGGATCCCTATTATTCACCCTGGAGATAAAGATCACAGTCAGGGCATCATTTTGCTCGTTAACTTATTTTCCATTTCATTTGTAATGAAATTAGAGTCATTTTCATTGATGAAGAGAGTGAAGGAGCTTTCTTCTCAGTCCTATATGTGCAGATGATAGATTAGCTTATCAAAAAAATCACATCTGGAATTTAATATCCTTGTATTCCAGGATGTTATGATCCTTGATCAGTCAGTCTTCTTTGGGATGGCGGATATTCATGATCGCCATAGGGATATGCGGGTTGATGTTGATAACATGTCATATGAGGTTAGTGGGCTAAATAGAATTGCATTATACTCTATGCAAACGTTATGCTAACTTCTCCAGGTGCTGTGTTTGCAGGAGTTACTGGCACTTGAAGAGCGCATTGGGAATGTGTGCACTGGACTGGGCGAAGAAGCTATTTTGAGCCATTTGAAGCAACGCAGCTATATTTGTGTTAAATCAGAAGAACCCATCGATGCAGAGCCATGCTGTATATGTCAGGTACTTAATTTGAAATATTCTACAATTGCGACATGCCACAGATCTAATAAAATATGGTTCATACACATTCTTGGAGTTTTCTTATTAAGGTGTTCTTATGGATTTCCTATAATTTGCAGGAAGAATATAATGATGGAGAGGATCTTGGTACACTGGAGTGTGGCCATGATTTTCATAGAGACTGCATTAAACAATGGCTCAAACACAAGAATATATGCCCCATTTGCAAAACAACGGGGCTGAATACCTGAGGAAGGCATTGAACCTTCTCTTATTTAAGAAAGTCTTCTTGATGTCCACCCAAGAAAAGTGGTTTCCGTGGCATCATTGGAGAAAGATATTTGTATTTTTCTGTTTATTGTATTCTGATATTAATCTGGTGGATTAAAGAATGACATTATTGCTCATTTGGAATTAACAGTTTCCCTACCAATTTATTGACACAATTGGTATTTATTTGGTTCATTTTCTTCCCCCTCTTTCCTGTTTACTATCGTTCGCTTACGAACTAGGAAGAAATAATCCCCAACAGAATCTAGCATTGCTTAATACAATACTTACTCCTTTATTCTTCCATAGAAAACATAGCATTGTTAATTCAATGGGTAGTTCATGTTTTTCTTTTCTGCATTACTAATACACATAAATTATGCTAGAATTTATGTATTATTTTATGCAAAATCGTAACGATTTGACCGGTCGTTTTGAGTACTAGCTCCCTTTTTGTGTTTCGAGACTTTCATAGCTCTATTTGACGATTTATGGCTTGCATGTGTGGTCCGTGTCGATTTTCGAAAAATTTTAATGTGAATTTTTAAAGAAAAGGTGATTTGACTTTGAAAATGGCTAGAGTTGACGACGATTCAGGTAGGTTCGTATGATGATTATTGATTTGTACGCATATTTGGTTGCGGTCCTGGGTGACCCGACGCCGTTTCGGCGCTTTATGAAGAAAGTTGGAAATTTGAGTTTTGATGATCGATTCTTTATTTCAGATGTTATTTTGATTATTTGAGTTTGCGAGCGAGTTTGTATGATGTTATTATACTTGTATGAATGCTTGGATTGGAGCTCGAGGGGCTCAGATGAGTTTCAGATAGGTTGCAGACTGATTTGATATGACTATTGTATTGCTGGTGTTGTTGAACTACAAATCTCGCATTTGTGAGGTACTGCTCGCAAATGCGAGCCTCGATCATGCTTGCCTTTGCGATGCTGGAGGGGGATGGGTAGCTTCGCATTTGTGAAGCTATGTCCGCTTTTGCGATAGGGGTGGCCTTCGTAATTACGATGGGCTGGTCGCATTTGCGACTCTGGAGAATAGAGGATAGCTTCGCTTTTGCGAAGACAATTCCCCATTTGCGATGGTCCCCCTGTTCGCATGTGCGATCATTGTGTCGCATTTGCGACATCAGAGGAGCTCAGGTAGTAAACGTATTTGCGATCAGTGATTCGTATTTGCGGACATTGCAATTGCGAACATGATACCTGCAACTGTTAAAATATGGGGATTTCGGAACGTAGCTCATTTTACACCATTTTTGAGACCTAGACTCCATAGAAGCGATTTTTAGAGAGCAATTTCTTCACAACTTCATAAGTTAGTAACTTTAACTTCTTTTAATTCAATTTCCATTACCTTTTCATAACTTTTCACTATCAAATCCAAAATTTCATAGAGTAAAAATTGGAATTTCGGGTAGAAATTAGAGATTTTATAAAATTGAGATTTAGACCCAAAATTAAAGTCGGATCTCGAAACAAAACATATATTTGGACTCAGGGGTGAATGGGTAATCGAAATTTGATCTTAATTTCAAATTTCGATCACGTGGGCTCGGATTTACTTTTTGTTGACTTATGAATTTTGACTAAGATTGAACCTTTATTGATTGGGGATGTTTCTTTTGCAATTGTTTGACTTCCTTAGATGATATGTGACTAGATTTTGATAGTTCCGAGGAATATTTCTAAGGAATACGGTATTGGATTGTGGAATTTATTCCGGAATGAGGTATGTGTCTTGCCTAGCTTTGTTGATAAAATTTTTTCAAATAAAGATATTGTTTACTACATGCAGGGGTGATGCATATGCGAGGTGACAAGCATATATGCATGTGCCAGGGTTTCCATGCTCGGGGGAGGGGGAGGGGGGAT